AACATGCATTTAATCCGTACGCCAATTAAAAGTGTATAATTTATATTTTTATTGAAGTTTTCGTTTCAAATAGTTATGTTTTCAAATGATTTTCATAAATATTTCGTGTTTTAAACATAAAATATTGTGTTATTTTTGAGAAATATTTTTCTAAATTTAGTAAATTAAATGCAAAAACATTTTATTCATAGATCTCTAACTATTACACAATTTCTATTTGATGTTTTGATTATAAAATAAATTGCTTCACAGAAACTGGTAATACATTTCTGTGAATCCAAACCTCATATCAAATCAAATTTAATATATGGTTAAAAGCATTGGCTTTTTGTGTTGGGAATAAACATGCATTTTTTGATCTCAATGTTAAACCTATTTTATAATAAAATTCACATTAAATTACATTAAAATAGATATCACATGCGATTTGTCAAAACATTTTAAATCACATATCGAGAGATATTTCACGCATTCATATATAAAAACTTAATTAATTAGATTTATGTTTAAATTGAATTTATTATTATTTGTGAAATTTGAACAAAATTTTAAAATATTTTTCTTTCTTGCGTTTTCTTTCTATGATTTTATTTAAGTTTTATTAATAATTATTTTAATTAATAAAATTGTAAACTTATTTTATTATTTTTAAAATTAAAAAAAACTTTTATTCAATTTTAATATTCAGTTGTTATTTAATGTTAAATAAAAATTACGAAAATTTTATTTTCTGTCAAATTAAGGGATTGTAAAGATTTATAATTTTTCCAAGATTTAAATCTAGATAATTAAGGCCCTAATGAGCAGAGGTTTTAACGTAGAAATTGCTGAGAAAACAAAATATAATATTAATTATAAAGAAATTCTTATAAAAAACATTTGAAAATGAATTATGGGTTTAATGTTTGAAGATTGAAGTGATATACGACTTGAAACACATCCATAAAACTCAAGACATAGGAATCGGTGGCAATACATCTGAAGGTCTTGTGAATTAAATACATTGAATATGTATTTTTCGTGGACTTGTGATCAGCTTTTATGCCTTTCAAATCAAACACTGTTTTACATAATATTAATTAATTCCTGATAATGAAAACCCAGAAAAAATATGTTTCTCAATATAAATTTCACTTTCACTAAAAACAATCAAAACCACATCTTTATGACAGCCCTATGAATGTCAAGAATATTCTTCGGGAGTGTCTGAGAAAAACCAAAAAATTACTTATGATATCCATCCAGAGCTGATCTTTCAACGACGTAAACGTATAATCATTTATACAAAAGTGATTTTTTATCTTAAAATCATTATTAATTAATTCTTATGTTGAATGCTATCATTCATTGTCCAAACAAATTGTCAGAAATATTAATAACGTTTTTGTGTTTGATTTTCAATGTGGTGTTGAATTAATAATGGGATTGAAGACAATATTTTTAATGTGTAAAAACAAACAAAAAAGTCCTAATCTTAATACAAATCATAAGCCATAAATCACATTCAAAAACGCTTTGTTTAAAGGTTTTATTAATTTTAATACTTTAAATATTATGGCATTAATTGTTAATCCGTTTTTGGGATTTATATTGCATGTTATTATATATTAAGGTAAATTATATTTAATCATAAATCTATGGTTACTGTACAATATACTGTATGGGAAAATCCATATCAAAGTCATGAAAAATAGTTGATAAATAATTAAAAATAAGAAAAATAAAAAATGTAAAACAATTTTCAATTCAAGATCAGTCGTTGAAAAAACAGAAACTTTTCATTAATTAGGTATTCATTAGGCGTTTCATCCATTTAAGAGGGGTTTGGATCTAATTCTCTCTCCCTTTCTCTTTATGCTCTCTCTCTCTCTCTCTCTCTCTCTCTCTTTCTTTCTCAAAAGTAATGTAGGAGTTATTGCCATTGGTTTACATAACTTAACAATTTTTTGCATTCAAAGAGTAAACGAATAGTCTATACTTTTTTTTGAGCCCTAATTTAAATTCATAGACCACTTTCGAGACAACGATTTTATCATTGATTGTATTTTTTTGCACTTATTTTAAATTATTTTTAACGATATTTTTCTGTCGTTAACCACTGATGAAGAGCTCACAAAAGAGCTGAAAAAACTGATAGATATAGAGAGGGAAAGAAAGAGAGCGATCAGAAAAGAGGGAAAGAGAGGCCAATATCAAGGTCTTATGGGATGGCAGTCAAGGATGAGATTCTTTGGATGGTATGGTATATAAAGACTGTGCAAAACCACTGACAAGACATCGTTTGGTCAAAAAGCAAATTCTGACTTCAAATTCCTGTCGAGTTATTAAACACGAAACTCTATCCCAACTAAAATGAAGTGCATGGTAAGTCTTATATAATGACTTGTTTTTAATTCTTGAATGTAATCAACATGTATTTGTCTGGTCTGATTCAGATTGCCCTCGCTCTTTTGGCTTTGGTCGGTGCGACCATCGCTATTAATGTCAACGGCTATTACGGCAATGGCTATTATGGCAACGGCTATGGAAGCGGCTATGGCTATGGTAAGTGGTATATGAATCTGGCAATCTAGCAATGTTGCTAGATGCAAAATGTGCAAATTATTCATTGTGGTCATATCATTCCATTAAACAGGCGGTTATGGCTATCCCTCATACGGTTATGGTGTGGGTAACGGCTATTACGGCAACGGTTATGGCAAGAGCTACGGTTACGGTAACGCCGGATATAGCGGTTATGGTTACCCCAGTTATGGTAATTACGGTTATGGCAACGGCTATGGCAGCGGCTATGGCTATGGCAAAGCTTACTACGGAACTGGTCTCGGATACAACAAAGGTCTGGGCTATTCTAGCTATGGCTCCGGATACGGCTATCCCTCATATGGCGGCTATGGCTCATACTATGGCGGTTATTACAAGAAGTAAATGATGACAACAATTCATAAAACNGCTATGGCAAAGCTTACTACGGAACTGGTCTCGGATACAACAAAGGTCTGGGCTATTCTAGCTATGGCTCCGGATACGGCTATCCCTCATATGGCGGCTATGGCTCATACTATGGCGGTTATTACAAGAAGTAAATGATGACAACAATTCATAAAACATTTTTTTTCATATAACACTTGTATAAAACTTGTTGAGCGAACTGTTGACCACAAACATCAAAATTAACGCTAATTTTTGTTGTTTTAAAAAATTGTCCCAAAATTTTTGTTACCTTTTTTTGTGTAAAATTCTCATGAAATTTGCTTTAAAAATAAAATTGACTTTTTATTATTAATAAATTGCTTTATTATTCATTTGAAATCTTATTTAATAATAGTTATTAATTCTGTCACAAGATATTAAAATACAAGTAATGTTAAAATGTTTTGAGAGTAAAATTAGTTAATTATGTGTTTTGTTAACTCGAGTGACTATTTAGAAGTGCGGCCATAGTATGCAAACGTGGACTTTGCTTTTGGATTTAATCCGATATGAATCGTACCCTTCAGGCCCTTATGGATCCGCTTTATATCAACGGGTTTAATATAGTTGATGATAGTGTCGGCCCCTTTGTTCTCCATAAACTCCGAGTCCTCTTCATTCTTCATTCTCGGCATATCCGACATATTATACGGCAAAAGTCTGGCCATTATATTGTTGATTGTGTCGTGAAAATACAACTGTCCCGTATGTATAGTGCGGTCGCCGTAATGGCTTTGCATATGTATATGCGTGGCCCGACCGCCGTACCAACCTTTTGCATAATAGATATAATGTTTTATGGGTTAAAACTAGTAATTAAAGTAACAGATAATACCCGGGTATATGGTTTTGAAGCGAATGATGCCGTTTTGATTGGTATATTGTCGGCCGCGGAGGAAAGTGGTGTTGTCGGTGCGCGGCTCGTGATAGTCGCTGTTTGGTATGGCGTTTACATAACTGGAGTAAACTCCGAGAGCATCGCAGTGCCAGATATCAAACGACACGTTCACCAACGGCTCACACGTCCGGGCGTTTGTCAACAGTATCTTCAGTGTCAGCGGCACTCCCTGTCGGTCTTCGCGGATGTCTTTGCGGACCAAATCCAGTGGCAGATAATACGGCCCTTCGATGGCCTCCGGCGTGAGTTCGCACTGATGTTGCAGTAAATGTCGGCCAAACTTTGCGCAATAATCCGATGCGAGACTCGTTTGTCTCACCAAATATATTAAATAAAATGTGATTTTATACTTTAAATTCATTTTTATTTAGGTATTGTTTTTTTGTGTTTAATTGATTTGAATATTTTATGAAAAATAATAAAATATTTGCTTTATTTGTTTAAATATAAAGCAATTTGTAAAACAGGTTGTGATGTAACGACAGAAATACAACATTTTGTCTAAAGTCGGTTATGTATTATATAAAAACTCTGTTATAAATCCGCATTATTTCCAAGAATTAAATGTAAATTAGTGTAAATTTATTGCATATATTATTGTGATTGAAAGCCAATGACAATTATTAAAAGTATAATAAAACTAATTTATGTTAAATTTAAGTACAATAATATTGAAATAACATTAATTTTATTTAAAATATTTAAAGTTTTTGTAACTAGTTTAAAGTAGATGACATTTATAGCTACAAGTTATTTTAACAATAATTAGTCAAATATTTAATCACCATAAACATATCTACAGCTACATAATATGTAGCTAGCATATATCTAGCTGTACAAATACAGAATTTAACAATTTTACAATTAAATTACTTTAAACAAATGACAAGTAATTTTCATAGTTTTAATAGTTAATTGAATGAACATTATTTGGTTGATCGCCCGTACAGTGCGTTCGGAGACTCAGTATTGGGATCCAAACCAATGATCATTTCTCCCGACAAACCATTTGATAGTCGTTTGCCTTTAAATTGTTTAATTTTAGTGATGATTGTTTGCTGTCCGCTGTCTCTCCTAAATATATAGTCGCCTTCATTGGTATTTCTGTGCGATTTAGTCATATTGTAGGGCATATATCGGGCCACACGACCCACCAATTGGTTCTGGAAATACAACTGACCCGTGTATATGGTTTTGCCGCCCATATGGGCCTGGATATGGATATGTGTAGTGCGGCCCCCATACCAACCTANCAAAATACAAAATAAAGGACAATTATTTAAATAAATAAACTGATCTTGTATATTTATAAATAAAGAGACAGTCGATATATCTCGCAAATGCTGCTTTATAAATTAATTTTAAACTTATGAAGATAAACTAATTCTGTTAAATGTAAATAAGAGTATCACAAATGCTAGGGCTTTTGTAAACCATTATATACTACAGATCAAACTATAATAAATATAGAGATTGTCCCAATACAACATTTACAAAACATTAACTGATGATTGTTACAGAAAAGAATTACCAATTATTTGATAATCAGTTTATAAGTTTTGAAGATTCTTTTGTATAATTCTCATATTCATTATTTTCATTGTTTTTTCATATTTTCAATTAATTAATTTATAACAATTTTTTGTTTAATATTTGATATTTGTAAAAAAACTAAACTTTTTAACAAAATTAGATAAAATAAAGTCACAATTGATATGCAAATCAGCATAACTGCAATTTATCTAAAGTACAATTAATTAAGTTAAATGACTTTCTAATCAAAAAACATTTTTGTTTTGTCATTTTAAATGTCAAACAATTAAAACCAATAAAATTAATCGACCAAACTTTGAACAGTACTGTACGGACTGATCGATGGATACCAATAGTAAGATAATCGCCGATATTGTATGGATGTATGGGAACGACATCTTAATGAATGGCATTGATTTAAGACAATTGTTTTAGCACTGGATGTATGAATAGATTAGTCGGTTGATTGCACTGACAAACTTCAGGTGCAAACTCTGGACTGACTTTTTTAATGTCTTTTGCATTGAAATGTGATTTTTCAAAGTCATGCAAAAGAAACAAAACTAAAACAACAACAAAAATGTTTGCAATAAAATATCGGAATTTGGAAATTAAGTTAATTAATGCAAACATTATTTTTCAAAACAGGTTTTGTTCATTTGTCGCTTAATTTTATTGGTTTTAATTGTTTGACATTTAAAATGACAAAACAAAAATGTTTTTTGATTAGAAAGTCATTTAACTTAATTAATTGTACTTTAGATAAATTGCAGTTATGCTGATTTGCATATCAATTGTGACTTTATTTTATCTAATTTTGTTAAAAAGTTTAGTTTTTTTACAAATATCAAATATTAAACAAAAAATTGTTATAAATTAATTAATTGAAAATATGAAAAAACAATGAAAATAATGAATATGAGAATTATACAAAAGAATCTTCAAAACTTATAAACTGATTATCAAATAATTGGTAATTCTTTTCTGTAACAATCATCAGTTAATGTTTTGTAAATGTTGTATTGGGACAATCTCTATATTTATTATAGTTTGATCTGTAGTATATAATGGTTTACAAAAGCCCTAGCATTTGTGATACTCTTATTTACATTTAACAGAATTAGTTTATCTTCATAAGTTTAAAATTAATTTATAAAGCAGCATTTGCGAGATATATCGACTGTCTCTTTATTTATAAATATACAAGATCAGTTTATTTATTTAAATAATTGTCCTTTATTTTGTATTTTGTTTAATAATTCAATAATCTGTAAAATGAATTAAAAATTATTATAAATAGGCATATAAATGTGGTTAAAATTTTTAACTTTTGTTGAAAATTAAAATAAAACTAAATACAGTAACTAAATAGCTCAAATATAGGACTGTCCTTTGCAATATAGGACGGTTGGTCACGCTAATCTCAGCCCCTGCCATGCAATGCCTCTTTAAATCTTTGTTGGGATTCAATCCGATTATTATTTCGCCAACTAATCCATTGCTAATCATATTATCTTTTAATGGCTTAATACGGGTGACCATAGAATCGGCGCCTTTGAATTTCCTGTACAGCCGGTCCTTTTCATTGGTTTGACGGCGACTTTTGGTGGTATTATAGGGATAGAAACGGTCAATACGTTTGAGCATTTCCTCCGGGAAATACAACTGACCCGTATGTATAGTCCGATTGCCCGTATGGCTTAGTATGTGTATGTGAGTGGCCCGGCCAGAGTACCAACCTGTATTACACATATATATAATTTGAAATACTTAAGGTACAATTTAATTTATATGATGTATTTATAGAAATAAACAACATTTAAATATATGCCTATTTTTATAACTTATAATTTAAAAGTTTATGAAATGTCATACCGGGAAATACGGTCATGAATTCTGCGACACCATTCTTGTCGGTCATTTGAATGCCTCTCAACCACCGGGTGTTGTCTATAGTCTTTGCGTGACCCCATCGAGTGATGTTGGCGTGAATATACCCGGAGTAGTCGCCGATGGCGTCGCACTGCCAGACATCGATAGACACGTTGGACAGCGGCTCACATGTGTTCACATCAGTCAGAGTGAGCCGTAGCTTAAGAGGCAGCCCCTGTCGGTCCTCTCGTATGTCCCGACGGATCAGTTGGTCGTCCAGATAAAAAGGTCCCTCAACTGACTCCGGGGTCAGTACGCACTGGTGTTGCAGATGGTGTCGACCAAACTGTGAACAGTACTGTTGTGTTACATCAATGGCCACAAACCAGACCACAGCCACAACGAGTATGTGTTTCATATTGAATCTCAATTTGGGAAACAATGGATACCCAGTTTGATAACACAATTATGTTATCAAGAATATAGAAATATTATTACATTTACTAACTTTATTCAGAAAATTTCAAATATCTTACAAAATTTGATAACAGTTCACAATGTCCATATAATTTTATTTTCAACATTATGTTTATACGTAATTATAATTATACAAATGATCTTGCTATAAGTACAAAGTATGTAATTATAAATAGTTTGATTATAAATCAAAGCATTTGAATAGATCTAAACTAGCTATGTTTAATCAGCTAAGATCATAACAAAGCATAATATAAAACTACAATAAACGTAATTTTTAAAATAAAAATATTAGTATCATTGATACTGAATCAATAATAAAATAGATCGCAATATGTTTAGCTATTAGTTTATTTTAAAATAATTATGATTGTTTAGCTGAACACATCTCAGCCCCTGCCATGCAATGCTTCTTTTGAATCTTCGTTGGGATCCAATCCAATGACTATTTCGCCAACTAATCCATTGCTAATCCTATTACCTTTCAATGGCTTAATACGGGTAACCATAGAATCGGCGCCTTTAAAACCCCTGTACAGCCAGTCCTCTTCATTGGTCTGACGGCGGCTTTTGGTGGTATTAT